GGCTCGTTCCATAAAGCTTATGTTGTGCTAAAGTTATCGTAACTCCTATACTTTAAGGGGTGGTCAGGTAGCCTAGTGGTTAAAGCGTTCGATCGTCACGCCGAAGACCTGGATTCGATTTCCAACATGGGTACAATGTGTGAAGCCCATTTCTGGTGTCCCCCACAGTGATATTGCTGGAATATTGCTAAAAGCGGTGTAAAACCATACTCACTCACTCCTATACTTTCACATAGACTTATGACAGTCGTTGCGCTATGATCACTTTGTTTAGTGGGGCCCCGATTCTTTCATTTTACTATAGTTAATCTGTGACGCTGTGACATTGTGACGGATTAACAATAGTAATATAAAAATGTGTTCTCTTACTTCTTTTGAGTAGTATATAATCATTACTATACACCACTATTACGATGTTTGATTGATAAATTCTAAACATTAAAAAAGTTTTTATTATAGTGTGAACCGAACTCAATCACTTCTAGTGAGCCAATGTTAAAATGTTTTATTGAAAGCAAACTTGCTCATAATATCGTAACATATTTTCTAAAAAATATTTGTTTCGCTTTCTCTCTTCACATGCTGCATAAATGTTTGATATGTTTCTGTTTTACGATGCGTACAACACAATTCTTTTAGACGTTTTAGTTTCATTGCCAGCAATCACACTTTATTAATGCTTAATGATTACATCACATAACAATCAACATCTGAAAAATACTACACAGTAAGATGCACTTAAAAACGTCTTAATGTGATAATAAACCTCCATCCTTGATGCAATCCAATTAGGCCGATATTGATGAACACAAAGATTATTCACAACGAGAAAGACGAGATGTGACCCTGACTATGTTGCCTGCACAAAAACAAAAGGGGTTTAGGTGACTGCATACAAATTTCCTCATTACGGTCGGGCTTGATGGTGCAACGCTGTGGCCAGTCATGGGTAGGATTACAGGAGCAGCTCTGTGGAGACACTGTATGCTGACTGCCAGATGTGTTGAGGTGAAATGGGGTTTAGCACCATGTTCAGGATTTTTGAGTGTGAGTGAGTTTGGTTTTATGCTGCTTTTAGCAATATTCCAGCAAAATCACGGTGGGGGACACAAGAAATTGGCTTCACACATTGTACCCATGTCGGGCTTCGAACCCGGGTCTTCGGTGTGATGATTGAGTGCTTTAACCACTAGGCTACCTGACCGCCCCTCAAGATTATTGAACTTGCATAGCGACATGTATGCATGTGTGTGTGTGGCTGAATGTACTAATCAAGGCTTTTGATGGTTATATACACTAGCCCAGTGAGATATCATGCTGCAGTTTAACATGGATACCCCACCCAGATACATTATACTGGCACCGAGGCGACCAGTCCTATTATCTCATCAAAGCAGAGAGTCAGGCAAGGTAACAACAATTACCATCCTTTAATGTCTTTTGGTATGACGCTGCCAGGAGACCTTCCATTCTCAGACACCCTATCCTCTAGGTGGTGTTGATGTCGGGAGGACACATGTGGAACAGCTGTGATGTAGCACTGGAGCTAGGATTTTCAAGGTTGATTCAGTCTGTCAACTTTTTATGGATTTTGTTCTTAAATGTTGAACATTTATGTATAGGAGTTTTGTGAGATAGGAGTAATGGAGCATGCGTCTTAGAGTGGGTGAGTGAGTTTGGTTTTATGTTGCTTTTAGCATTATTCAAGCCAAATCATGCTGGGGATACCAAGAATGGGCTTCACACCAATTCCTATGTGGGGAATTGAACCCTTGTCTTTGGCATTATGAGTAAACACATTAACCACAAGGCCATCCCAAGATCCCTCTTCCTCCAGTGTACAGTACCAAGAAATTGCTGAAAATCTGCAACACTTATCTTCAATGATGATTCCATATAAAAATCAAGGACTTACAGCAAACTGGATGACTTCCTTACAGTTTGTGGCCTGCCTTGTTTTACACGCTAGATCTGACAAGCCGGTTAGTTATCGTGGCCTATTTGACCCCAAAGAGAATATTACTTATCTTGCATGCCAACTTTTTTCCTTTCTTTGAAGTTTTGAAAACTCTTTTACAATTTTGGACAAACTAAACCAGGCTATAACTGTGGAAAGCTTAAGCTGTCTTAAGTATGGTGACACTCATAACACAAGGCTGCTTTCTCCAAGATACAGAAATAACATATGATAATCCTCCTTTTGAGTTTATCATTATCTAGACCAAAGCATTACCACAACAATTCTGTTCCTTTTGATCCCCAACTTTTGCAGACATCTCCTTTATGCTAATGATATTCCTGAATCCAACAAGCACTTATCCCAGCTCTTTAGTTACATTGTATGTCTTTTCTGTCATATTCACCAAGCATGGGATACGCTCTGTATCTCAGAAGTTATGGTTGCTCCGAGAGTGCCTACATCCACAGATCCTGGTATTGATATTACAGCATGGAGACTATCATGATTAAATATCAGTGCTATTATTGACATATTCTGCAACTGTCGTTCATATGTCAGGCTCAATATCCGACTGACTGTCTGGAAACGGAACCACAATGCAGACAGAGGAACGCAAAGTTTGCAGGAATAAAATTGTTAAAGCTCTGGTGGCTCAGAGCTGTCTGGGAATTATTCCCAAATGACCAGATCACTTTCAGTGATCCATCCCTAGGTTAATCAGAATGATAGACTCTATAGGAAGTTAGGCACAACCCTGGAGAAAATATGTGTTGGACACCTTGGTCACAATGGCCAACACTGGTACGCCTTCAAAGGAACATGTGATAAAACAGCTGTCTGAGGTTGCGTAAAACTATTCCCACAATGACGACTTTCCAACTGACAGATTTTTCAATTCATAAAGGACTTTCGAGGTTCATAAAGTTTTAGTAGTTCTGAATGAAGTCAAGCTGTGATTGGTGGACACTGCTTTCTGTATGCAGCTTGAAGGGGGACAATGCTACACAGTCCTGTACCAAGTATAAGCGTAGGTATCTTTATTGCAATTTGTTAAATGGTCTAAGTCTAGAGCCCCTTTAAATGGTGACTAGACTTGCAGATTGTCAGCCCTGGACAATTTGATCCAGGTCATGCAAATATCAAATGTTTGTCTGATAACTCATATTAAAGAATGATGTCAATCAAACTGTTCATTAGAGCAAGATGTATCAGTTTAACACAAGGCTCCTATGCTGAAAATGGGCGCCAGAGAGTGGAACATTGTCTTAAACTAGACTACTCAATGTTCCAGTACATGTGGTACCAAAATGCTCATCTTTCAAGTATGATTCCTTACAAAAAAGGCAAAAACAACTCATTTTCATATGCATTCTAAAAGGATACAAGAATAAACATTCTAAAAATAATTCTAAGTTAAAAAAGGAAAAGTAGCTGTATTTGTTCAGAAAATCCAAATATTGAAGAAAAAAACTGTTCAATGCACCTCTCCTATTGGTACAGAAACTGTACCCTCAACTGAAAAGAATCCATGAAGTAGTTTTAAAGTTATAGGTCACACAAATGTTAAAGTAAAACAATTCTAAATAAAAACATGAATAAAGCTGTATTTCTTCACAAAATCGCACACAAAAATGACCTCGGAAGGATGCACAGATGGATGCAATTCCTTGGTATGATGATATACCCCCGCCTTTTTAGGTCTGGGGTATAAATAATATGAAGCAGTCTTGGGGAAATCTTCATGCAACTGATGAATCGGTTAAACACAACACAATTCAGTCGGTTAGAAGGTCAAAGGGGTAAACAATTTGGGTGCAGGGAAATCAAGTTCAAACCAGGGCTGTCACGATTCACTTGAGTACCCATAAAATGGATTGTTTTGGCCATATAAATGTTGTTACATAACATTTGTCAGGAAAATATTTTCTGACTGTATATACAAAATTTTTAACATCAAATTTAATTGACACAAATTTACTATATAATATATTTTCGTTTGACCCTTTGTTGATGGGATACAGCTCCTTAATGTGACAATGTTAAAAATTTCATGGACAGCATATCATGACCTTATGTATTATATATGGTGACAAAGTGAATCGTTTCAGTGCTAGTTCAAGTGCTTGGCAAACCATCAACTCACAATGGATTACAACTCAAACCAAACTACTAACCTATCTTTTTCCTAACTGGAACAAAAATATCAAAAATACAAAAATCATAATAAAAGTGAGACAACACAAAGCACATGGGCAAAAACCAACAAGAAGCATATGTTTGTTGTTTAATGCCACATTCAGCAATATTCCAGCTATATGACGGCAGTCTGTAAATAATCTAGACTTGCTTCATTTGGGGCTATAGCAGTACAGTAAGGGCTGGGTGGCAGGGAAAATAATATGGTTCAGGGGCTAAGACAGACAAGGGGTAGCAGCTGCAATGTGGTTTATGATGTTTATTTGTTGTAAACGCCACACTCAGCAATATTCCAGCTATATAATGGCGGTCTGTAAATAATCAAGTCTGGACCAGACAATCCAGGGACTGACATCATGTGCATTGATCTACGCAATTGCGATACGATGACATGTATCAGCCAAGTCAGCGACCCTGACCACCTGATCCTGTTAGTCGCCTCTTATGATAAGCATAGTTGCCTTTTACTGCAAGCATGGGTTGCTAAAGACCTATTCTAACCCGAAATCTTCACGGGACAAAAAGCATATAAGTTACTACCGGGTAATTAATGTTGACACAGGTGTACACACACTAAAGAAACAACATTCTTATATTCAAACATAGAAACGTCTGTCCAGGAATGGTATTTCTCAGTATACGAGCTCAATGTTGTGACAGGATTATGTAACCAATGGGAAAGCATCTAATATTTGCTGATCATCGATGGAATTCTGTGATAAACTTTACGTCCCGACATAACAAACCCCATGTGACCATGCAATAACATCAGTAGGTGTAAGGAAGAACATTTATGGATGTCAACTTCTTTATTATGAGTAATTATTACAGTAACCATACTCACCATTGTCATCCAAGTCAAAGTCATCCACCGATAGTTTCTCATGACCATATGCCACAAATATTGTTTCATCGCTGAAGAAGTCTGCCAGACAACACACCTGCAAGGTCAAAGGTGAAGGTTAAAGGTGAAGGTCAGTGGTTCAGTCAATTATTGCGGGTAATGTTTTCGGATTTGCAATGAAGTTTTTCACATATAGGCTGGTTCTTGATAGTTGTTTTAGCATTGTGTCACATCAATGTCATGCAAAATGTTTTGGTATGCATCATATTTTTAGATGAGTGTGAGTGAGTGAATTTTGGTTTGATGCTGCCTTGAACAGTATTTCAGTTATGTCACCGTGTGTTCAATGGTCATGGTAATAAATATTTTGGGATTTGTTTTCCCATTTCAAACACAACTCAAACTAGCTTTCAATAACTAGACACAGAAACAAGTCTGTTGTATTTCAAATAAAAATAAATGATCTTAAAATAAGGCAATATGGAAGCTAATTATAGGCTGCACTGCCTGGCAAGTCAATGCAAAGATCTAGCTGTTTGGAACCAGTCAGATTAATCGAACACATTATTTGTGTCAATTCAAGTTTTCTTATGCAGTTTAATCTCACAATAACTTTATTATATTCAGACTGTTTAATTTAAAGTTGATAGCAGTTGGCACCAGACTCTAGAGCTTTAAGTGTTCCCATTCTTCTTAACTGCTTCAGTTAAAGAAGTCACGTTAAATATATCCCACGCAGCAGAGTTCGGGATAATACCGTAATTGCTGTATTAAGTGTCTGCTCCAGTAAGAGCCCCCTGACCAACTTCTAGCGCAATCTGTAAGTTATTTTTATAAGTGCCCCCTACTTAGACCGAACATATACATGACATTCCATATTTTCCTGTGTATTCAGCAACCTAGAAGAGATGTATGATTGCCAAGTAAGTATTATTGAAAATGAGTGATTGAGTGGGTGGGTGGGTGAGTGAGTGAGTGAGTGAGTGAGTGAGTGAGTGAGTGAGTGAGTGAGTGAGTGAGTGAGTGAGTGAGTGAGTGAGTGAGTGAGTGAGTGAGTGAGTGAGTGAGTTTGTTTAACACCATATATTACACAAGTAGCCATTTGTCTTTGGCAGAACTTGGTGTTTTGGCGGAGTGTATAGGATTTAACGTCACAATTTTACTTCATTATCATGTCAATAATCACTACAAAATAATTGTATTTGTGAGTGATTGACAAAGTTGGGCACACTCTGCCATTGTTCTGGAAACTTGAAATTCTGCAGAAAAAAGGGAATGCTGCAACTTATAAAGAGTTAATGAACCCTTCATGACTGATGGATGTTTCTGTGTGAGTGAGTGAGTGAGTGAGTGAGTGAGTGAGTGAGTGAGTGAGTGAGTGAGTGAGTGAGTTTAACACCGCTTTGAAAAGTATTCCAGTTTTATTGCAGTGTGTCAGGTTAATGTGGGAGGAAAGCTCGAAGTGATGCAGGTCTCAGATGTGGTGAAACCCATGAGTAAGGGTATGGTGCTGACAAACCTAAAAAAATAATCTGGGCAAACTGGGGAGGGAAGTACTAGAGAATGAACAGAAGGGTATACCTTGAAAGCCTTGTTTCTATTTCCTTAAACCACTTAACCACTTAGCTGTTTGTCCAACAACATGCAAAATCAATTTTTGATTATTTCATTAGTTCCTCTTGAATTACTGATCATCACAGATGAGTAGTGGAGCAAGAGAATTTCAATACCCCACAGACAGAATAAATGCGTTTGGTAAACAATACAAAACCACAGCACGATAACAAAATAACTAGCCGAGTGTTAAAAGTAATTTAATATGTCACTCGACCAGAGCTTTCTGACAGTTTGGTTTGTTGACAATGAGGCATGTTACTGCACAGCAATATTATCTGAAGTGCTTTGTTGGACAAACCAGGGTTGTTTGCATGAATGTAGGACATTTGAAGTGTATTGGGTCTAGTAGACAGTGATAGGTCTAGGTATCAGCAGTCACTATCATGTTTACAATGTAATGACCTGATATCTTTTATCATGTGTTTCTTCTACACTTATATCCCCCACTAGGAAAGATATCTTCTAGTGGATGGATGTCACATTATTGCTTATTCTGACTTGTATACCTTCTAAGTCAGTAAAATATCTAAACTATGATGATACATCATACTTTGTGTATGTCCTTTCCTCCTTTGTTTATGTCATATCTTTCTTTGTTTATGATGTTATATCTTTCTTTGTTTATGATGTCATATCTTTCTTTGTTTATGTCAAATCTTTCATTGTTTATGATGTCATATCTTTCTTTGTTTATGATGTCATATCTTTCTTTGTTTATGTCATATCTTTCTTTGTTTATGATGTCATATCTCCTTTTGTTTATGAAGTCTTATACACTGCTTATCATCCTTTGTTTATTAGGTCATCCCTTGTTTATATATAATATGTTCCTTTGTTTATGATATCATATCATGCACTCTTCATATCCTATCATTCCTTGTATATGATGTCATATCTTCTTTTGTTAATGATGCCACATCCTTCGTGATGTCATATCTTTCTTTTTTTATGATGTCATAACATCCTTTTTTTGTGACTATGTCATTACTGAATTGTTTCATTATTTTATGCACGAGCAGTGTAACCTCGTTAACTCTAACTCCATTAACATTTCAATTAACAAGGTTCCGGGCAGAATTCTCTCTCTAGGGACAATGGCCTAACATCCTCTTCTCAGACTGCATTCTTCTTCTTCCGTTAACCAAGAAATCAGTTTGTACAGAAATATTCATCACTTAATAATTAATAAATTTTATTGAAACAGTTTACAATAGCAGAAAAAAACACATATAGAGGCAGCAACAATAAACAATAGGAATCCAAACGCACTTGGCAAATACATAAGACTGAAGTCAGGTCGCCAAAGGCCTCGAATACAGGACCACCAGCCAGAGACTGCATGATCAAGCCTGCATGTGCGGTGTTTGTAAACAACCAAGGGCACGTAACTCTTACTTCCACTTGCTGCCGCGGACAGCACTCAACAGTTTACCAGCTCTTCATTCATTTACTGCCACTGACAATCACTACAATTACATTTACAGCAGCTCTACTGCCACATAACAATATAACTTGTAACAGTAACCAGACCCACGACTGGAACTTAACAGTTCAACACCTGAACCTACTCCGTTTGTCTGCTCCAGGGTGGTCAGTGTGACCCTGAGACATTATAATAATCACTTGCTAGCATTTTACTGAAATGGTGTTTTGTAGCTCTACTTTACTGAGTGAGTGAGTCAGTGAGTGAGTCAGTCGGGTTTAACCCCGCTTTTAACAGTATTCCAGTTATATCACGGCATGTCAGCTTAATGTGGGAGGAAAGCCCGAAGTGATTCAGGTCTCAGACGTTTACCACTTCGGTGAAACCCACGAGCACGGGTATGGTGCTGACAAACCTAGAAACATAATCGGGGCGAACCGGGATTCGAACCCACAATCATAGGTTTCTGGCGTGCCCAAGGGACGCAACTCTGCACAGCGAAATCGCGGCGCCTTAGACAACTGGGCCACCTGTGCCCCCCTACTTTACTGTAGTCTGGGGTGTCTTCTCAAACCTTTAGGTTCACGTTTTAAACAAATACAAGGATTTACCAGAAGGTCTGAGTAGGCCTACTGTCATAAATCCTGTAAACTGTATTAGTATCAACGCTGTTGACACATCATATCCATATTCTCACATGCATAACTTACATAGTCTACAATGAACCCATTAGTCTACAATGCAAGTACTTTTTAAATTTGAAAGGTTTGGTTGCCATTGAAATTGTCCATACAAACTAATTTCAGAAGTCATGAAACAAAGAATATTACGAGAGGGTGAGTGAGTATGGTTTTATGACGCTTTTTGCAATATTCCAGCAATATCACGGTGAAGGGCCAGAAATGGTCTTCACACATTGTATATACCCATGTCAGGAATCGAACCCGGGTCTTCGGTGTAACGCTTTAACCACTAGGCCCCCCGACCGCCCCTGGAATATTATGAGTTCAGTAAAGTATGAAGGTTACCATGTCTAAGGGGAACTGACTAATGTACAAGCAGTCAAAGCCTAGACAGTCTGCCTATTACAATAGCACCTATTTGGCGATCAATCATTTCTGAGAGACTGATCTGTTCAGTTAACACCCTTTTGTCTGCCGCTTTCCTAACCATGTCACAGACAGCCCAATGGTAATCTCAACCCCAATAAAACACTATCAATGCGAATGCTAATGAAACACAACTTGTCTATCGATAACCAATGAGAACTACTAAATATTGACAAGGACCTGTCAGTCTGATAGTGATTCATTAGCCACCTCAAAAGATCAAATCCTGCAATGATTTTTGGTTATCTGCATCTTAAACGGGTCAAATTGCCAAGTAACTAAACTCGGCTTGTCCAATTGGACTAGGCAAAGCAGCTGTGCATAGCAGACTATGACACAGAGAAATCAATGGCCGAGTTTGAATCCTGATTGATTGTTCTATGATTACACAGATCGATGAAGACATAACCCTTTAAGATTACAAAAGGGTACAATCAAGACATGTCAATGAACTGAGGAGCTCACATGATTGGAGGAACCAGCGACTGTAAGACTATAATAGTCCTTAGGATTGAAAAATCTTTATTGGTATTTATTTTGAAGACTTTAGTGCTGTTAACAGTGAATAAGGGTTGGGTTAAAGTAGCGATAGGGTTAATAGAAGGCAGTGTTCAGGGGGGGGGGCTTTAAGAAGTTTTCGTTTTGTGTTTTTTCTTCATTGGTCAATGCTCTCCATATTCCATATATTACACAAGTGGCCATTTGTCTTTGGCAGAATTTGGTGTTTTGGCGGAGTTTATAGGATTTAACGTCATGATTTTACTTTTTATCTTGAATACTTCATGTGTTCTAGTGGACGTGGGTATGAATCATACTTAGAATAAATAGCTCATGTTGGATCTTCTCATCAACATTTATTTCAATTATGTCAACAATCAATAAAAAATTAATTGTATTTGTGAGTTTATGACAAAAATGGGCACACTGCTATCGCTCTGGAAACTTCAT